ATGACTGATGTTTGACTATAGTTTGACCTCACCTCCAGGTTGCATGTCAACTTAATGGCAGGCACATGACCTCAATATGATTATTAAGTCGGTGAACAGTTTTTAAAACGTCAATAAGTTGATAAATTCATTTTTGGTGACTATCCTCCGACTTTTTGAGACAAATTCGGGACCATCCATTGACTTTGCTATTTACTGAGGTTCAACGTTCAGGTCGTGATCGGCAAAGTTAGCGCCTGATTTTCCACGAAAGGGTTGTTTTATTTATAAATCACCTCCTCGTGCACGGACGAACGTGAATATGTATCCCTCAACAACCTTGATCGCCTCGAATTTTTCTTTGGTGGAACGGTGGAGTGTCGACTCGCCTCGGCTGATTCACAGAGAAACACGCTGTTTGGTTATGTTGGGCAAAGACTTCAGGAGTAGATACGCATTGTTTGTACATCATCAGGACATCATCATCATCCACCATGATCGTGTATTCGTGTTCTTGCTTTCCGCCAACGGGTGCGACTGGCGTTTTTCCCTCATGGCGCTTTGGTTGCCCTTGAGACGTCGTCGAAACCTGGAACGAGCGAGGCACCGAGGTAAACGCAACGCATATACTTATTCCTCAGAAAAGCGATTGGTATGTATTTCTGCTATCATTCCTGTGCGGCCCCGCAAATTTCTCATGGATAGGTTGGGAACTACATAATCAGGTCAAACATCTCTATCCCTCATTCCCCTGGTCGCAATCTTCTTCTTCCTGGAAGTGACTTAGCCACCATGAGCACCGTCGCAAACGACTCTCAGGGTGATGCTACCGACGCCATCGAGGAGCCAGAGAGAAAAAAGAGGCAGTATAAGGATTTTGGCCATGACGACGAGAAAGCAACTTGTGATTCATTGATTTTATTCAACTTGTTCTATGCGGTTCTGACGCGTGTATAGACGCCAAGGTCGATATGTCCACGGTACGTCTTCAATGTGTTTAATCTTGCTTAGCTCATACGAACGTGTGTCCCTGCAGATCGAACTAAATGCAGAGAATTTGTACGACAAGGAGAAAGTTGACTTGGAAACTATTGTTATCGACGATGTCTTCAAGCTCTTGCAGTGCACTGCGGAG